GGGGGGGGGGGGGGGGGGGGGTCCCGTCGTGTATCGTCGTGTTTGGTTTTGTCCGTGAACTCACTCGTCATTTTCCATGTTCACAATTTGAGTCAGGAAGTCTCAGGAAGGCACTCCAGAGTCGAAAGCGATAACTCCTGTACTTTTCCCACCTCATTCCACGTCTTACGTGGCATTCTAATGGTGTTTGTTTCAGCGTGATGGGATGATAGGACTGACTTCGACTGGCGGGGGCGGCAGTGGGCCCCCAGGCGGGGGGGTGCGTGAACGCACGATGCAGGCCGTCGAGTATTACAACAGCACGGTGCTTCGGGCTCGGGTCGGCGCTGGTCTCACAGGGCCTCGAACCGGAACCAGCGTGCCTCAAGACGCACTACATCGAAGTAACTCGAGCCTGGAACTGACGCACGATCCCCATCATGGTGGCCCGGGTACTTCAGACCCCCCGATCCAACTCCGTCGTGAGTACGGGAGTCACGGATCCATCGACGTAATTTCCGCCTCGTCTGAGCGCGGAGGGACGTCGAGTTCGTCGGGTGCTGGTGAGAGTTTCTTCGCGATGCTACAGGATTATCGTCCGGCGGTCCTGGGTATGATCGGGACAGATCAACGTAGTCCTGGTCCAGCAGAGTATCTTAGAGGCAAGGTCGATCCTCCGCCAGCAACTGAAAACGCCTCCAATGCGCTAGCAGCTGCCAGTGATGATAGTCCGTCGTCAAACATCACGTCTTCCATGAGTACAAGTCCGAAGTTGAGACTGAAGTTAAATAGGTTTTGGGGCGGTGGGGGTGGTGGTTCTGCAGGAGGGGCGGGAGGTGGAAAACCACCTAGACATAACCATGTGTTAGACGACAGCGTGGTAAATACCATTTCTTCTTCGAACAATAGCCATTGTGCGGGTGGTGAGATCGAGGAACGTCAGAGGAGAAGAGCTTTCGTACATCATGACTGTCAGTCAGTCACGGCGAATCTGGGGTACGCGGCTAAGTTGCGAGGGTTGCTTCTTGCCAGGAGGAGGAACACTACGACAGGGGCTTCAGCGGCGTCTATGATTGGCGCCAGGTCTGCAACACCGGACGGTGGCGACAGCGGTGATGAGGACGCTGGGGACGGACGGGGAAACGATCTTCTGGAGAGGTGAGTTTTCATGGACGTTGCTGTACTCTGTAGCTTACCCTGCTCAGGACGCAGTAGCAGGAAGTTTACTGTTGGCGACTGTAATCTTGAGACTTGCAAGTCTATATATTACAGTCGCGAACAGTAGTTTCAGATGTGTCCGGTCTGGTTATGTAATTGTGGGCAGAAAGATTCGAGGGGGAATTTAAACCGTGTAAACAGAAGGAGGGTGTGTTTTTGATGACGATGAATCGTACGTCTTTGTTCTTGGCAGTTGCCCGTTCTTCCGCAACGAGATTGGCGGCGAAGAGGAGCGGGTGGTGAGCCTCACCAGGGGCCAATCGCCCCAGAACGCCCAGCGGCGACCGCTACATCGCCCTCCCATGGCGTACGGGGTGTCGGTACTGGAATTCCCTTCTGGAGAGACGCACTGGCGGCACGGTACCTGCCCCTACCAACGCCATCCTCGCGCTATCGAGAGCGTGGACCAGGGCGCTCGCTATTACCGAAATTATTTCTATGGTCAAGGTGAGTATATGAGATTTCAGGGTCTGATGATGGATGTTGTACTTTGCAGTCTGGTAGAAATTTGCTGACGTTTCGGAGGTCCTTGCTGCCTCCATCATCAGGGCAATGAGTGATGGAGGCAGATGTGTTTATGTTTCGTAATTCCTTGTACGAGGGGGTGTGTAAATAAAGATTGGTGCCATCATTTTCTTTGTAAACAAAGCAGTTCTTGGTGTAAGAAGGATGTGAATTATGGGCGATGTTCACATTCCAGGGTCTCATGCGGTCCTTTGATGTCCTCTGTGTATCCTGCGTATGTATTTAGTAATGCTTTGTCACCTTTATGACGAAAAATAGCCACGTGATGACTATTGGCGAAGTTTGGTTAACACATTTATGAGTATGTAGTATACATCTACCAAAGTACATAAATTTTGTTTTTGTTTTTTTAAAGTTATTCGTACGTACTTGACGTTAATTCAAATAGGAATTTCAGACAACATTCAAGTTTCTTTAAGCCTTCTTATTGAAATTACATAGGATGAAACGCAAATTTCTGTGATTGCTAATTTTTATTCACGCTGTCCTCGCTAAATATATGGAAGCTTTCAGGATTTAATTATTCCATATTGTGTCATCAGCTGATTTTTTTTTCCTGTGTGTTTGTGTCTCAGACATCGGAACAGCTGTTTCAACTTTTACACCTGTTTGCATAAACTGTAGCAGATACGCGAAAGTTAATTACGTCCAAGTGTTATCATTTACTGCGTTGCGACTTGACTTTGAATTCGTTCGTAGTAAAAGAGAATTCTGTGAATGATTTGGGCATTTGTGAATCGGACTTATCCACACGGAGAATTACTTCGGTTCCACTCCACTCCTCGCCTACTTATTCCAGATACAGGATCATTCACTTGTTTAGATAAGTCTGTGATAATGATAAGGACATTTGTGTTTGTGTGCGTCACTACATTTCATAACCACGTGCTCATGACACTTGTATGGCTTTTCTTGAGAGATAGGAACTTACGTTAGTGTACCAATTATACATTTATGCCAGAATGAGAAAGTGATTTCAATTTAAACATACTCCTTCACAGACAGTCTTAATATTTATAAATAATTGAGTGGGTGTAACTTATTCCTTATACACATTTTAGCCAATGTTCGATATTTAAAAAAAGACAAGATACGATAACTGGAACATTATGCCTCCATAATGACTTAAGACCGTGCCACGGTGATCTAGCGGTTAGAACGCTGGCCTTGTAATCCTGGGGTCTCGGGTTCGATTCCCGGCGGTGCCCGAATTTATAACTTGTGTTGGGCAAGGCCGTGGTCTAGGCAACACGGAGTTTTCCTCCGTGGCATCCCAACAATTACTCCATTCACACACAGAAGAAGGCAATGGCAAACCACTTCTGGATCATCTGCCAAGAACGTATATGAACAGGTCCCAGTCCGAGAAAAGGATGGAAAGATCCTGTTCATATGGACCTGTCGTCAGACAGAACACTACAAATAAAAAAAATGACTTAAGAACCAACAGTGTAGATGTGCAAACTTCTGAAGTGCGATCGATACTGGCTTAGTTTAATATTTTGAATCACCCTGTAGGCTACGAGTAGCGGACACCCGGTTCTATAAGCATGAGTTGCGGTATTGAGAATGCAGTTGATCTTGAAACCTAGGTGATTCAGTTGTAAGGAATAGTGACGTGATGACGTCACTGCCTGAACGTGCTTAGAATTTTATTACGAGACAAGAGACAGATGGTCACAACGCGAAGTATTACGATGAAGGGAGGGATGCACCGAAGAACGAGCCTACCCGTTCGTTGGTGGATCGGTTGCCTACCCCTAGTGCCACACCCTTGACTTAACAATTTACATAGTGTAATATTACATTGGTTTTGCGATACTGTGAAATTAAGGCAGTCCATTAAGAGTTGCCACTACTCTTGAGGGACGTTTTCTCATTAAAGCGATTGCCCTACGTTGGCTTTTACTGGCCCATCTTGTCTCCCACCCTATACCGATCATGGACGACCAGAGGGTCTAGAGCAGTGGTATTCAACCTCTTTTGTTCGCGTACCCCCAGATATAATTTCTCTTCAACTTTGTACCCCCAAAGGTGTTGATGTATAATTCAAGTTATACATAGTATATAATCTACATCTAAAATAAATTAAATAAATTACATTACTGATTATTCAGTGTTTATCATAAAATAATATATATATTTTTAAATTTCACGTACCCCCGGGGGTACGCGTACCCCAGGTTGAATACCACTGGTCTAGACTTCCTGTAACCGCGTGTCGCTTAGGAATGATTTGTCTGTACGAATCGAGATTACTAGATGTACTTCAGGGTTGTGTTCCGTGGTTTTATGCAACGATTTGTCAAAGTCGCGACTGAGGCCCGAGTACCGCCACTGATCAAGGACAGACGAAACAGTAGAGAAACAGTTCTCGCTCTGTATTAGAGCAATCACTTAGACGACCCCCGGTTTGTTAGAGCTGTAATGAGATAATTGAGACCGTACATTTCATGGACGGAGTTTTAGGGGCGTGGTTTATTGGAGGGCGAAACTCATTAAGAGGGAGACCATTCTATGAGTATTACGTCGTTCTAGAAGATGGGGGTAGATAGTTCCTCCAATAAATTGTACTGTTCTTACCAAAAATGTACGATCTGTAGAGTCTCTTGTCTCCGAGGTATGGCGTATCATCAGATTGCAGATGGTTGATATAAACAGTTTCGGGACAGTCGACAAGGGGTGGACCTTCAGCATGAGGGTTGACGAGGGGATAGACATTTACCTCAGGAGACCATAATGGTATTAAGTGTTCCACAAGTGCATTCGGTAATTACGTGTTGGTTTCGTAAAAGGCAGATGACTTCAAAATGTCAGGTCGTCTGAGGAACATCGTATCACTCTTGGAGATCATCCCAGTTCCTGTACCTTTATTTTTTATTTTTTTGAACATGGTGGCTGTGCTAACTTTAGAAGTCGAAGCAACTGTTAAACACTTCGATGTAGGGGACCTGAAAACTTAAGCTGTCAGACGGGTGCTGATAACGCGATGACTTGATTAATCTACTGACGTGGAAATTAAATTCTATATTCGGTTATGTGTTGTAAAAAATGAATTATTTGTAATCTAATCTTCCGTTTGCCTACAGGCCTATGTGTAACTGAATCGAATAATTCTGCAGATAAAAGTTGTTGAATTTATCGAATAAGAAAGTCTTAATGGCGTTGGGATGATTTGCCACCACGTCCTGGATGACTCTGGGGCCCACCCATAATGATCCTTAGTCACCGCTTTAATTTCCTCGACATTGTAGATTATGAATTGAACATTTCGATAGAGAACATCATTTTAATATATTTTAATATATTTTAAATGTTAATTATAGTAATATTTTAATATTTAATAGGAATTTTATTGTGATTTGACTCACAAGATTTAAACAAATATATATTTATCACAATATGACGCAACTTTATCATCATATCATCTCATTAGTATCACCAGTTACGCGAATATTTCACGCCGTAATCCTAAAAGTGCTGGTGGTAACTATATGTACCACCTGATTTAATAATCTGTAACTCTGCAGTTCCCCCCCCCACAGAGAATATTTATGCGTCATGAATGATTATTATCGTTTTTAACAATTATTTCTTTAAACTGCGTCAACCAGTTGATATTTGTTAACGGTGAACAGTTGTGTTTTCTTTGAGGTACGGGCTGGGATATTAGCTTCGCGAGTAAGACGCCTTGCTCCTTTTTTTTTTTTGTTTCCTAATTACGTACAGACGCATTCTTTCTGGTTCGCTAAGACTGTTTGTCTCCTCAAGACGGATAACACATACTAATGAGATTATTAAGTGGTCTATTCCATCACCGGATACGACGCGAGGTGCATTAAGACGTAGCTGATGTGAAATTGTGCCTCGTTGACTCCTATTATAGGGCCTGTGGGTTGTGTTCGACCGTTTTCATATCCGGAGATGAAAGTATCGATATTAATCGATCGATGTTAATCGATCGATGTTAATCGATCGATGTTAATCGATCGATATGTAGCACACACAAAAATTCGCGTGATATGATTTTAACCGGGTAGACCTGTTTTAAGTCATAATATGAAGATGACTTTCTTGTAGGTTGTAGCGCCGTGTAGTCTGGCAACGTTTACCGACGTTTCAGAGGCCCCTTCATGTTTCACGACGATAGAAAACAGAAGAATGTTTCAAAGTACGAATGTCTAATGATTAATAATTCAAAAATCTGTATTGTAATAAGGATTAGGTGATGTGAGCACTGTTTCTGATTAATGTTACCGCGTTTAAAAAGGCTGTATTGTCGACGTTTCGGAGATACAACCCATATATATACTTTGTTCTCTTGGACTTTGAGATTGGGGCAGTAATGATCTCTAAAATGTCGGAATTACGGAGTAAATTTACACAGTGAGAAACAGAGTTCGTATGAGCATTTTTTTAGCTGAAAGTTTCAATTTAACACATGTACATGATCCACTTTTACGCGCTGTGAACGGGCATCGTACCCCCAGCGTCACCAGTATTTGTTTGAGCGGCGGACCGAGGGATTGGTTTGGCGCCGATGGTCACAGACAATTGCCTAATGAAACATTGAACACATTAGGGGTTCTGTAATGAAATGCGCCTTATTGACATTCGTTCGCAGTCCTGACTGCCAGTAACTTAAATATGTTGTAACATTTCCTATCAGCCGTCTGCAGTCGTGTTGTTTTTTCGTAGTCTGAACAATTGACGGCGAAGTCTTTCTTGATAAGCTAATTGTCGCTCAGCTAGTTATGAGATTTTCTAACTTCTGTGGAAACTGAAGTTTTGTTGTAGTGGTTCTGATTGGTCACTTCAGGCTTTTAACCAAAATTTTGTATGCACTTCTTATGTCCTTTCATCTAACCCGCCTTGTTTTGTCTCGTGGGACGCAGATTTAAGTAAATGTCTTAAGAATTTGCGTATAGTACGAAGGTTTGTCACCAGGGTTATTCTGAAAGTAAACTGCCCAAAAGTAATTAAAATTACTTATTAATTAAAACCATCTTGTGATATCGATGTGAAGTGGCCTTAAGTAATTGAGTTTATAATTTAACTTTAAACTTTACTAGTGTCTTTTTAAATTTTTTATATATTTTTTTATTGTTATATATTAAAGCCACATCAGAAACAATAAATGTCATTGTGTTTGGAATATCGTAGTTATTTTTATTTGCAGTATGAAACAAAATCCATTTACCATAATCGTCGCTTTGTGATTACTCGGATGTCTACTGTTTTTGTTCCAGAACATCAGAATTGGTTCGGGATGGACGAGAATCTGGGGCCAGTGGCTGTGAGTATCCGGCGAGAGCGAATAGAGCGACAGAGTGAACCAAACTCTTCTGGCTCCTCGTCAGCGTCGCCTGCACACACGTATCATTATCGGTTGCTTATACGAACGAGCGAGGTTAGTGATCTCCTTGTCAAAATTCTGCTGTTTACATACAGAATTTTAGTCAGAATACTTAAAGAAAAGTGATCATTAGAAAGATAAAGAGATAGGTGGGAGGATAATATTAAAATGGAATTAAAGAAATAGGATTTGAGGATGTGGAGTGTACTCAGGATACAGCTGGAAGTAGATTATGAAGATGAATGCGGCATGTACAGATAAAACAAAAATCTGCTTTATAAGTGATCGTCCGAGCTGCCGTAATAGTTTCAATACCTGAACGTGAGCTGTCGTTAACTGACTCATGAATAAAGAGACTGACTTTACTCTGAGACCATACAAATGCTGGATCGTAGGTGGAGCCGCTAATGTACGACCAAGGTTACGGTCTGTCGCACACCTCATAGGGCAGTGATGGATGAAAATGGAGCAGTGGAGGAATGACGATTGTCTACGCGAAGTCGCTCACACTCTTGTGCGTTTAATCATTCGCTCTGGTGACTGTTCGATCGAATGAATTTGTGCCAGACCCACTTTTGGGTGAGAGGCTTCATTGCAACTACAGTTTTCAGAGGATCCTTGGGGTGCCAAATGGTTGTCCTCTCGTCTTAAAAAAAAAAATCAACTATGTTTGTGTTTTTTTCTGGTCCTCTGACCTCGACTAGTCACATGTTTTGACATAGAACAGCTGTTGATGTTTCAAGTTCTTTCCAGTCTTCTGCAGATGTCATTAAGCTAGAAAATTTCTGTGAAAATAAAATATATTTCAATTTCAGAAAAGAGTTTCCGTGAACTATTAATACGTTAATCAATACATTCTTCACACTTCGTACTTCCTACTGTTTACTAACCGTGTTTGAAATATTTTTTTTGTAGGATTTATTCTGATTTTTGTTGTTGACGAATGTTAGTTACGTCAGTACCTTTGTTTCCGCACAGCTGTTTACGTTGAGAGGGTCAGTGTTAGAGGACGCTGTTCCAAACCTGAAGACGTCCAGTAGCAACAAAACCTTGAATACGAAGGAAGTCTTGGAGTACGTTGCACCAGAAATTCAGTTATCGTGGTAAGATTTATGCTCAAAACTGTACATATTCAGTAGGTTTTAGGTTTTTCTCAGGATTTCTGTATTATGCGAAAGCCGTGATCTGTTATTAATCTTATTACGGTCTGTACGCTCTTTTAAAAGGACTGATTTTTTTTTTGAATGGAAAATTATGTTTCCGTTGTTCGTAATGTGACGGAATATTACGAATTGGATCATTTTGGTCCGTGTCTTATTTGTGTTCAACGGTTTATGGTTATCGTCTCAAAAAATAAATCTAAATGAAATGTCATTTTATGAACCGTTGTTTGACCTCAACAGTTTAAACCTTAATGCGGAATGGTAATTAATTCGTGTTGTCTGATTAGAACCGCAAGTACGTTCGATAGTTAATTTTAGTAAAAAAAAATTCCCAGTTTCACATCTCAAGGAAAACTACAGGCCCGCTGTTTTTTGAAAATACCACATTCTTCCGCAAGTGCCGTCTGAATTGTGCATTTTATCTTTAGTAGTAGATGGATTCAAGCGAGATGTTACCGTGGCGATATAAAAGGAGTGCAGTTCGTAAAATCTGTTAATTTCCTGTATCCATGTTTATACAGATCTTTCTTAGTGATTTGCGTTTCCAATTAAAAAAAAATCATGTATTTATCTTATATGTAATTATATTTATTACTACATTTTTGTTCTTGTATTACGTGATTTCAGTTTGAGGTTAGGTGTTTCATCGCAACAGACAGAAGACCAACTGCTGAAACTAGACGAACAAGGTTTGACGAACCACTACAAGGTGGGCATTATGTACTGCAAAGCGGGTCAAGCGTCTGAGGAGGAGATGTACAACAACGAGGAAGCCGGTCCGGCCTTCCACGAGTTCCTTGATGCGATTGGTCAGCGAGTCAGGCTCAAAGGCTTCGACAAGTACCGAGCTGGTCTTGACAACAAGAGTGCGTACCAGGATGTAATATTAAATTATCATACGTTGACTTCTGCCTTCGGAGAGAAGTTACTCGGAAATTGATTAACTAATTATACACGAGTTGTAGTGCTTTTCGTGTGTAAAATTGTCTCTCATGAATACAGTAACGATGTCTAAGAGATAAACACGTAAACATATAATTCGTCTCTGGATCGTATTGTTAATTATGTTTCAGCTGATTCTACGGGCCTTTATTCGGTATATTCACAATACCAAGACTGCGAGATCATGTTCCACGTCTCTACGCTTCTTCCATTTACGCCAAATAACCGCCAGCAGCTGCTACGTAAACGTCACATAGGCAACGATATTGTGACCGTAGTCTTCCAGGAGCCCGGTGCTCAGCCATTCACGCCAAAGAATATCCGTTCGCAGTTCCAGCACGTCTTCGTCGTAGTTCGCGCAATTAACCCTTGTTCGGACAACGCGCAATATCGGTAAGACTGTGTTTAATTTCATTTACTTTCAGGATTTTAGTTGAATAAATCGGGGTCCGCAGTGGCCGCGCGGTCTGAGGCGCGGGCCTTGTGCCGCTCAGTCGCTGGGACCATGGGTTCGAATCCCACTCAAGCCATGGATGTTTTTCTGTGTTGTGCTGTCCTGTGTACAGGTAGAGGCCTTGCGACGGGCCGATCCCTCGTCCAAGGAGTCAATAGATCGAGCCAACGTAAAGTTGGGACCCGCAGATGCTCAGGCACTTGAAGAACGGGTCGTTCCCAGTATCCCCAGTTGAATAATTAAAGTTCACATAATATTTCAACATGCGTATGGTTAATTTGATTTTTATGACGTGAACACTTCAACTTTTGCACAAATTTGGTTATGTTTTGGGTTTAGCGTTGCGGTGAGCAGATCAAAGGAAGTGCCTGTTTTTGGTCCACCGATCCACGAAGGAGCAACGTTTCCAAAATCCAAAGCTTTCTCTGATTTCCTCTTAGCCAAAGGTAAGTTACAGGGTGCACCACAGTTTATTATTTAGTGTACTCTTGATGAAATTAGACTAGCGGTTTGCTTTTGCGGTGAAACAACAGAATTATCTAATTGCGTGCAGTCATTACCGTGGATGGACGGTTTTTCTGTACATTTGATGTAATTTTGCTAACGGAAAGGAAGGCATTTCCATATTGTTTATTTCTGCTAAATTTATAATTATTAATTATACTTACGTTTCATCACTTACTGTGAAATTCTGTAAGAAGTTTTCATTGGTCTGTGAACGTCGAAGCAAGTCAGAAGCCGCAGACAAGCGACATGCATTATCTGAGATATAAATTTATTCTCAGTATTTTCTGATCGGGCCGTGTATCATTTCCATTCAGCTGATCAATAAATGCGTTTATTTTAGGGATTATATCATCAGCGAAACATTTCGCTACGGAGTTATATCATTAATAATTTTTGTCAATATATTGCAGTAATCAATGCAGAAAATGCAGCCCATCGGTCAGAGAAGTTTGCTACCATGGCAACACGCACACGACAGGAATACCTGAAGGATCTTGCCAGCAACTACACAACTACCACGGTAGTTGATCCAGGCCAGAAATTTTGTAAGGCTTCATATAGTGCTCCTTTTTTTAAAATAGTTCCGTGTGTGGCTCGCAGGTACAGATCGCTTCGTTTAACAGCAACTTACGTACATAACGTGAAGCAGGTAGTCACATTTTTCAACTGCGGAACTCTCTGTTGGATTTTCGTTAAATGTTGCGTGGAGGCCACTTACGTGAAACTTGGGAACTTGAGTGGAATTCACCAGTTACTTCTAATAAAAGTTTAAATTAAGTTTCACGATACCTCATGATGTACGCAATTCGAACACGTTTCGAACAAATAAAGGCACCAAAATTAATAAGGTTCATTTTGCGCAAGGTTTTGTAAGGTTGATATTTCAGACACAATTTATAGATATTAACAGAAGATAATCATTAAATTATAAAACATTAATTTAATATGTAAGCACTTCAGATACATATTAAAGACGGAACTTTCATTTGAAGATTGTGTAATTTTCTAATTTTTAAGGAATAGTTATTAATTTATGGATTCAGATGCTCCATTATATTTTGTGGCTGTTGCAGCTATAATGTCCTTTAGCAGCAAAAAGAAGGAACGTGGACGACCTCGGTTTCTACCGGACGCGTTGCAGAGAGGCGCTATATCGTGGCAGGTGGTGCTTGACGATAGCGGCCAGGCGGCGCTAGTGGACTGCCACCTCGGTATTTCAACGGATACTTTGGTTCTTATCGAGGAGCGTTCGCGTGAGATCGTTTTTGTCATGCCGTGCAAAGCTATATTGGGATGGTCCATACAAACAAACAGGTATGTAGTGTATTCAGAAATTTTTGAGAGACTCTTTCTTGCTGAGTTATGAAATTCTGATCACAGTTTTTATGCAGTTTAAGGGGTGGGTCTTGCTCATTGGAATTGTGAGTTTGAATCCCACCTGTGACGTGGATTTGCATTTCTTGAATAGGTCTTGTGATTTTTAGTTTCTCAAGAAGGACTCTGCTTCACGGATCTTCATTCATTACTTAAGAATTTTCTAAGAGGTTACATGAAAATAGTAATGAGGATTTGTTTAAATTGATATTGATTCCTCATGTGCCACTTAGAACTGAAAATAAATTGACGTCAGTGTGTGGGTGGATGTGCGTCGTCATTCACGCATCACATCAGATGAAAGAGAGTCTGGTATTTTCCCTAGATATGAATTTGAAGCGCACTTAAAAATTGTGTGCCGATGAAATGAATTGGACGTCATCGTGGCGTTCTAAGTTTGCTGTTTTTGAAAGCCCGTAGTACGTAGTTTTTGTGGTCCAAACACTGACATCTTCACT